CTCAGCCTCCCAAAGGCGCGGGATTACAGGCTGAGCCACTGAGCCCGGCTGAGGCTGTATATTTCTAACTAGCTCCCAAGTGATGCTGCTGCTACTGGTCCAAAGACCGTACTTTAAATATAATAAAGATAATAAAGAGCTTTTTTTCTGACTGGGCATGGTGGCTCATGTCTATAATCCCAGCATTTTGGGAGGTCAAGGTGGGAGGACCACTTGAGCCCAGGAGTTCGAGACCAGCCTACACAACATAGCAAGACCTCATCTCTATATAATAAAAAGAAGTAATAATAAGAATCTAAAAAGAAAAAAGTAAAAAGAGAGCTTTTTTCCTTTTTCTTAACATTTTAATATTTTTGATGTTTACTGTTACTTCACTAATACAAAGTGTCATTATTCGTTTATTTGTTAATTTGATAAATACAAATACATGTGCATATTCATTTTATTTGTATTTCTTAGATTACTAATGATGGTGCATAAACATTTTGGTTGCTTTTAAAATTTTATTTTTGTTTGTGAAGCGCTGGATCATATCCTTTGCACATTTCTGTATTAGATATCAATATTTTTCTTTTTCATTGTTAAGCACACTAGATGCATTGCATTTTTTGACACTTTATTTATGCCATAATTATTTTTTCCCAAGATAGCTATTTGTGTTTGTCTTTGCATTTTGTTTATAGTTTTTATAACTTACAGAAGTTTTAAATTTTGTTGTCAATATTTTTAAGATTACCTCCTTTATTTTTATACTCAAAAGATCTTTCCCTACAGAATATCAGAATATTTCCCTATATATTCTTCTGTTTCATGGAATTATTGAACTTTTGTATTTAACATACTTCCTGTCTGAATTATAAAAGTAATTATTTATGTGTAATATTTAGAGCACACAGATAAGAAAAATCATTGTTAACATCTTAGCATATATTTATCTAGATATTTTCTTATGCAAACATAGATTTAAAAATATAGACACACATTTATATATTTTTAGAAAAATAGAATTACATGTAAATCAACATACTACTACTAATAATTATAGTAAATCCTTACATTGCACAACCATTTGTCAGTCATTATTCCAAGTGTTTTATAAATTTTAAGCCGCAAAAACATAAGGTAGGTGCTATTACCTCCCTTTCACAGAAGGAAAATGGAGGCACAGAGTGATCACTGAGCTAGTAACAGGCAGGGTCAGGATTTGGACTGATGGTCTTATCACCATACATGCTCTCAATATATGACTATTATCTGGCCAGTCATTAAAATGTGGGCGTAAATGTTAATGTGGAACCATGGTTCTCAAAGTCTGGTCTGGGTACTAGCAGCATCGGCATCACGTGGGAACTTGTTAGAAATACACACTCTTGGTCCTCACCCCAGACCTAAACCAAGTCAGAAACTTCCAGTAGTCTGCATTGTAACAAGCTCTCCAGTGGTTCTGGTGCCCCCTCCAGTCTGAAGAAGAGAACGTAGTTGTAAGAACCTTCACCTAGACAGCCAAAAGACCTACAGATTTAGCAGTGCCTCGGGAATATTGTTTGAGGGGTGTGTCTAGACCTGGGCAGATATTCAGTTTTTTCATCTACATAGTGGGGACACGGATGGCAATGAGAATTGGAGGGACTGCAGTAAATTAGATAATGTCTAGCATTCATTTTGGGGCTATATTTCTATGACTCAAAGGCCATAAAAACATGGCATATGGAAAAGTTTTTTAAAAAAAGAAGAAGAATTGTTAAAATTGTGCAGGCCGGGCTCGGTAGCTCAGCCTATAATCCTAGCACTTTGAGAGGCCGAGGCGAGTGGATTGCCTGAGCCCGCGGGTTCGAGACCAGCCAGGGCAACTTGGCAAGGCTTCATCTCTACAATAAATTAAAAAATTAGCTGGGCGTGGTAACACGCGTCTGTAGTTCCGGCTACTTGTAAGGCTGAGGCGGAAGGATCGCCAGAGTCCAGCAGGTCGACACCTGGGTGGCCGTGTGTGTGCCACTGCACTCCAGCCTGGGCAACGGAGACTCCAAAACTGATTTATGTGCAAAACTGATTTATATCGGGGACAGGAGAGGAAATTGGAAAGAAGTATCAAAAAGACGTGGATATTGTAAAATTCCATTTGTGATGTGTTAAAGCTAATTTTATAATACGGTTTTTTAAATATTGTTTTTAGACACTAACAGCGCCCTGGTTTCTTTAGGTCTCTGAATTAAGACAACAGCTTCGAATTCGGGGCTTGCCAGTGTCAGGCACCAAAACGGCCCTCATGGACCGGCTTCGACCCTTCCAGGACTGTTCTGGCAACCCGGTGCCCAACTTCGGGGATATAACAACTGTCACTTTTCCCGTTACCCCCAACACGCTGCCCAATTACCAGTCCTCCCCTTCCACCAGCGCCTTATCCAACGGCTTCTACCACTTCGGCAGCACCAGCTCCAGCCCGCCAATCTCCCCTGCCTCATCTGACCTGTCAGTCACTGGGTCCCTGCCGGACACCTTCAACGACGCCTCCCCGACCTTTGGCCTGCATCCATCCCCAGTCCATGTGTGCACAGAGGAGAGTCTCATGAGCAGCCTGAACGGAGGAGGCTCGGTTCCTTCCGAGCTGGACGGATTGGACTCGGAGAAGGACAAGATGCTGGTGGAGAAGCAGAAGGTGATCAATGAGCTCACCTGGAAACTCCAGCAAGAGCAGAGGCAAGTGGAGGAGTTGAGGATGCAGCTTCAGAAGCAGAAAAGGAATAATTGTGCTGAGAAGAAGCCCCTACCTTTCTTGGCTGTCCCCATTAAGCAGGAAGATGCCAACTCCAGCTGTCCTTTTGCAAGCCAGCAAGTATCTGTGAAAAGACAAAGCAATGGCTCACCAGCTTGTGAAACTGCTCAACTCCTGCCCCTTGGAAATACTCATTGTGCGGAGTCCTCAGGTCAAACCAATGTACTTTCTTCCACATTTCTCAGCCCCCAGTGCTCCCCTCAGCATTCGCCGCTTGGGGCTGTGAAAAGTCCACAGCACATCAGTTTGCCCCCATCACCCAACAATCCTCACTTCCTGCCCTCATCTTCCGGGGCTCAGGGAGAAGGGCACAGGGTCTCCTCACCCATCAGCAGCCAGGTGTGCACTGTGCAGGTAAGAACGTCTTGGATCCCTCTTTCTGGAAATGGGATACAGATTTTCAGCCTTTGAAGAGCTGATGTTGGAACCTTCGATGTGAAGGGTTTACCCAAAGCCCAGCAGCTACCCAGACACTATCATCAGTGAGTCCTTACAGTAGACTCAACTCACTTACCCTCTAAGGCAGGGATTGGCAAACACACATCTGCAAAGGGCCAGATAGATGGTAAATACCAGGGGGGGAACTCAAAACAACAGAATTATGAGGGCATCCCCCAAAAATCCAGAATTGTCTTTTTGGAGGGCAGGCCCCTTGTAGTACACTTAGAATTTGTTCCTTTGGATCAAACAGTCAACCAAAGTTTTTATCTGGAAGTTTTGAGAAGGTTGCATTACAATTTGTGAAAGACATGTCCTGAGTTGTGGCAAACAGGTGTCGGTTCTTTAACCATGACAATGCACCTGCCCACAACTGCACTGAGTGTTCAGCAGTTTTTGACCAAAAACAGTATGACCCTCATGCCCCACCCTCCCTAATCACCTGATCTCACCCTAAACAACTTTTTTTGGTTTCCCTGAATGAAAATAGTCCTCAATGGCAAAGGTTTTGCCAATGTGGGAGAGGTGAAATGAAAAACAGCAGAAGCACTAAATGGCATCAAAATTGAGGAGTTCAACACTGTTTTGAGCAGTGGAAAAAGTGTCTCAAAAGGTATAGTGCTCAAAACGGAGAATACTTTTAAAGTGACTGAAGCTTAAGCATGTAAGAATAAATACACAATTTTTTAATAAATAAATTTCAGTTATTTGAGGGTCCCCCCTCATATATTTGTCTTTGTGGGTCACACTGTCTGTGTCACAACAACGTTGCCCTTGTGTCACAAAAGCAGCCCCAGACATCTGGTAAACAAGTACACTTGGCTGTGTTCCAATAAAATTTTATTTACAAAAATAGGCAGTGATCAAGGCTTGGCTTATGGCTTGTAGTTTGCTGATCAGTGCTTTCAGGACTCCTTGTTAACCAATCTCACCATAGGCTAAAACAATTCCTCAAGAGAGCCAAGAGGAAGTTGCCAGGCCTTACTCTTCTCTTCCTGTAATGATCTGCAGAGTGAAAACACTTACTGAGCACCTACTATGTGCCAGGCCCTGTTCTAGTCTCTGAAAATTCATGCTGAACTAGCAAAACAAAAACTACTATTCTCATGGGAAGATAGACAGTAAGCAAAATTTAAAAATAAATGATATAATGTATTAGAAGACAATACCACTAATGAAGAAAAAGAAGGGAAGGGGTGCGTGTGTGTGTGTGTGTGTGTGTGTACTTTGGAAGACTGCAACTTTAAATAGAAGGGCCAGGGACATTTTAGCAAAACTTTGAAAGAAGTAAAGGAGAAAACTTTGTGGATGCTCAGGGTAAAGGCATTGAAGGCAAAGAGAGATCAGCAAGTGCAAAGACCCTGAGGTTGGAACTTGTGGGAAATGGAATGTTCAAGGATTAGAAAGAAGGCCAGTGTGGCAGGAGTAGATGAGAGGAGAGTCATAGGAGATAGCTTGGAAGAGTCACTAATTTAAAGACTCGACCAAGTGGGGCTCGGTGGCTCACCCTGTAATCCCGTGGTTTGGAAGGCTGAGGTGAGTGAATTGCCTGAGTCCGCGGATTCGAGACCCGCCTGGGCAACTTGGCGAGACCTCATCTCTACAATAATCAAAAAATTAGCTGGGCGTGGTAGTGCATACCTGTAATTCCAGTTACTTGGAAGGCTGAGGCGGAAGGATCATCGGAGCCCAGCAGGTTGAGGCTGCGGTGGCCAGGAGTGGCCACTGCATTCCAGTCTGGGTGACAAAGTGAGACTCCAACTCAAAAAAACAAAAACAAACACACACACACACACACAAAAACAAATAAAGACTAGACCAAGGTGATCGACAAAAACTTTCCTTTTGCCCGTGAAGATGAAAAATTAGTAGGAACATCTATATAAGTCTGTTTGAGAAAAAAAAATTATGTTATCAAAAGGTCCTGAAATCTATATTCTTAGAAATGGAATAGGAAGAAAACTCACATTAATTGTACACCTGTCAAGGGCCAAGTATTAAGAAGCATGAAGATGAGTAATCTTGTTAAGTGTCACAACAAACCTATAAGCTCCAATTTATTATTCTTTATTTGCCATTGAAGAAAATAAGGCTCAGGGAGATTAAATCAGTTGCCCAGGATCACATGAATCCAGGATTAGTTGATTCTGAAATACATGTCCTTTTTGCATTAAATATCTCTACCCTGAGAATGAAAGTTGTGACAAAAGGTAATGGAAATAAATTTTTACAAACCCACCAGAACAACACAATCCAGTGAATGATGCCCATTCCTGAGGGGGCACACTGAGAGGAACTGGGACTTAAATAAAGCATCATCATTATTAACAAACATGTATTAGGTATACAGTGTCCTAGGCAACAAAGGTCAAAATAGCTCTTGAGACATAGCTCTGGACCATAATTTTCAATTCTGATGATATCCGTGCAATCAAGAAAAATTAACAGTGACTTAGGGTTTATAAAGACTCTTCGATGACATTAACAAGTTCATGATAAATAGGCAAACAATAATCTAGGACAACAAAACTGATTTGCACCTAGGACATTAAATGCTGCACAAAGTAGGTGACAGGGAGGGACAGACTGATCATAAAGGATTAGAAATGTCCAGGAAGTTTTTACACAGGGATTGGACTTGATGGGAAGTGCAGGGTTAAAAAGTAGGGCACGAAAAGGACACAATATGAAGGTAAAATGTATGTGGCACTTGGAGGAAATAGAAGCATGTAAGCTTGCAGAAAGGAATAGCATCAGGCTATAAAGAGTCTTGAACACCTATCTAGGTTGGAAGTGGAGACCCGATGCTGTGGATTTGCAGGAGCTACTGGACATTTTTGAGCAGTAGATGATATGCACAAAACCAGATTGTAGGCAAATTCATGTAGTAATGGAACTTAGGAAGGTTTATAAAGATAAGACACCAGGGGACACAGGGCAGGAACCAGAATTGTCAGCCAAGTCACACTCAAGTGTGCTGCTGCTGGTCATTTAATTTGTCCCTTCTTCCTTTCTGCAGAACTCAGGAGCACATGATGGCTGTCCTCCAAACTTCTCTCCCCGTTCTTCCAACCTTCACCAGCCCTTCCCTGGAGCCCAGGCAGACAGTGGTCATGGGGCTGGGAGCAACCCTTGTCCCAAAAGCCCATGTGTACAGCAAAAGGTAGATACTTGGAAAAAGGTTTAAACTTGGGATTAACTTTGCCTCTTTTGCAGCCCATGGTCCTCCAAAGCAAACAATGAGGTTCTCTTTAAAGGTAGAAAGAAATTTCATTTTAGAGAGAAGAAAGCCCACTCGAAATGCATTTAAATAGATGCATGAATATGAGTTAGGAGGTATACCAGGGAATCATTTCCTTTGGTCATCCCAAAAATGATGATGAAAATGGCCATGGTGTGTTTACAAAACAATATGGACAACATGCCAGTTTCTGTGGCACTGAAGCTTGCAATAATGTGTGGGAAAATAATGCTGGAGGATGAGGGAGATACACAGATCCATGACAGAACTGGAGAGGTGTGGAAAGTTGGGGTCACAGTGAAAAAAGAAAGAGGTGGTACCCATCAGCTAGTGGAAGAAATCAAGGGTGTGAAGGCTCCTAGATATGGAGAGTTCCAGGAAGCAATGAAGAGGTAGCAGGAAGGAGACAAATATAAGATAGTTATGACATAAAAGTGCCACATAGGCCAGAAGCAGTGATTCACGCCTGTAATCCCAGTACGTTGAGAGGCCGAGGCTGGAGGATTGCTTGAGCCCAGGAGTTCAAGTCCAGCCTGGGAAACATATCAAGACCTCGTCTCTGCAAAAAAAATTTTTTTCAATTAGCTGGGCATGGTGGCAAGTGCCTGTAGTCCTAGTTACTAGGGAGACTGAGGAGGTAGAATTCCCTGAGCCCAGGAGGTAGAGGCTGTGGTGAGCTGTGATTGTGTCACTTCACTTCAGCCTGGGCAACAGAGTGAGAACTCAACTCAAAAATAAATAAATAAATAGTGCCAAATGCCACGAGTGAGGAAAGGGACAGAGACTCTGAAATAGTCTGCAGAAGAACACACAACAAAAAAGTGAGTTCATGAAAAGAGACTCCAGTAATGCCATCAAATGTCTTCAGATATATTCAGTTGGAAAAGAAATGACCTGAGGGATAGATTACTTTGGGAATTCCTGGGTTGATAACCTTCTTTTTTTGAATTGTATTTTCTCCTAACAGAAGAGGGTGCACCTTAAGAGGAAAAATAGATCTGCAAAATTCTCATTCTAAAATGCCACCCGTAATAAACTCACAGGGACATGCACTATTGCTAATATAAGGGAGTTATTTTCTAAGCCCTGGATTTTTTGTTTGTGTATTTATTTATTTATTTATTGGTCTTAGTTTAATTTTTCCCAAACTTAGCCTGTGATTCCTAGAACAGAAGCAGTACCATTTCTGATCCATGAATTGAATGCCTTTCTCTGTCTTTGATCCACTCAGATGCCTGGTTTACACTCTTCTGATAAGGTGGGGCCAAAGTTTTCAATTTCATCCCCATCTTTTTCTAAGTCAAGTTCAGCAGCTTCAGAGATAACACAGCCTCCATCCTACGAAGATGCTGTAAAGCAGGTAACGTCATGATCTGGTCTTTGTGGAAGAATAGACTGACTAAGTGAACATTGTTTTATATTATGAAAATTTCATCAGCTTGTAAATTTTGATATTGAGTGTGTCAGGTGCCTCCCCACCTGACATGAGCTAAGTATTTAGACATTAACTGTAGTAAGGTGTTGCATGTATAATAGGAGTCATGTGAGGTAGGAAGAGAAAAGGTTCAATTGCCTGGCCTTAGTGACAGCTCCGCCACCCACCAGCTGCCACTGCCACTAAGGTTGGGCAAATATTCAACTTTTGTTATACAAAATAGGGACTATATTTACATGGTAAGGATTCTAGATAATCTAGCACTTGCCACATTATTTGGGCATGTGATATGTACTCAAATATATGGGAGTAATATTTTCTGAGATTCTTCCTACCTTTAAAATGCAATGATCCCAGCAAAATATTGATGGTTGTTGAAGCTGGGTAATAAAAGCAGGGAGGTTCAGTGTATCTTTTACTTTTGTTAGTGTTCGCAAAGTCTCAAATTTAAAAAAATAAAAACAATGAATAATCTTATATGTCAAATAGTCTGCACTTGAATAAGCTATTAGATAGACTTTCATGAGTACTTTCATGAGTACTCTACCCAGAAGAGAACATCTTTACCTATTGCTGATACTGGTATGTCCCACAAATCAAAATCAACATGCAGTTAAGTTTAATTTGACTTAAAGAGTGTTTTAAATATCAGGAGATGCTATGCAAAGAGGATTTTCTTGTTTCTTAAAAATTAGAGGATCTGGCAATACAGGGGCCACATTTCTGCCAGTCAACAATTGCCTAAAGCAAAGTGTCTGCTGCTTCTTCGAGCCATAGCTATGCTCTGCTCTCCACTTCTTCTCTTTCTTATTCTATATTTGGCTCATTTACATCACCCTGCAGACCCTGTAGTCATCTGCTATTAATACCTTCTGAACTAGCAATTGACACATTATTTAATCAGTGCTCTCACCCATATTGATTCTTGATGCCTGCGTTTATTAGGTCTAGGCTCACAGAGGAATGAGATGATATGTGCCTTGCTTGTCTCATTTTTTTCCCCTTGTATTTGTAAACATCAGCTGATCCTACACAGTTTTAAAAGAAAAGGAAAAAACCAGGCAAAGTGGACTTCCTCAAATAAGACTTTACTTAATTCACATGAACCAGAGAGGAAGGGGGACACCTTACAAATGACTTTGGGTTCCTCAAGTTGTTGCAATGAGGAACCAAGGCAATCTGAGCCAGGTTCTTGGGCTACATCTACAGCAAATAAACAAGAGGTAGATTCAAGTCACTTGAAAGTGAGAAAAAGTTATTTTCTTTTTTTTTTGAGTTGGAGTCTCACTCTGTTGCCCAGACAGGAGTGCAGTGGCCGCTCCCGGTCACCGCAGCCTTGACCTGCTGGGCTCCAGCGATCCTTCTGCCTCAGCCTTCCAAGTAGCCGGAATTACAGGCATATGCTACCACGCCCGGCTAATTTTTTTATTTATTGTAGAGATGAGGTTTCGCCTGCCCAGGCGTGTCTCAAACCCGTGAGCTCAGGCAATCCACTCACCTCAGCCTCCCAAAGGCGCGAGATTACAGGTTGAGCCACCGAGCCCAGCTGAAAAAGGTATTTTCTTAGTATTAAGATACCCTGCTCCTGGGATGAAAACCTCTCAAACAACTGAATTTAAAGTACTCTGTGCTGGGAAGCATCCTACTTTCTTTTCCTCTTCCCCTCTTGTAGTAGATTGTTTAATTCAGTTTACCTACCTAAAATTAATACCAATATTTAATCAAACATGGTTCAAAACCTATAGTCAATAGACCCATATTCATACCAGCATTATTCACTGTAGCCCAAAAGTGGAAACAACCTGAATGTCTATTGACATTTAAATAGATACACAAAATGTGGTATACCCATACGATGGAATATTATTCAGTCCTAAAAAGGAAGGAAATTCTGACCCATGCTACAATATAAATGAACACTGAGGACAGTATGCTTAGTGAAATAAGCCAGTCACAAAACGACAAACATTGTATGATTTCACTTATATGAGGGACCTAAAGTAGTCAAATTCATAAAGACAGAAAGAAGAATGATGGTTGCAGGGGCTGGGGGTGGGTCATGGGAAGTAATTGTTTAACGGGTACATAGTTTTAGTTTTGCGAGATGAAAAGCACCCTGAAGATTGATGGTGGTGATGACTGTATAACAATGTAAATGTATTTAATGACACTGAATTGTACATTTTAAAATGGTTAAAATAGTAGATTCTAAGTTATGTGTATTTTACCACAATTAAAAAAAAACTTGGGGGAGGGAGATGGGATTAACAGTAGCAAATATCTGTCTGGGGACGGGAAACACCTCTTATCAACAGGGTGCCTGAATGAAACGTAATTGTATACCTAACCCTTAACTGTACCCCACAAAACCATAATAAAAAATATTAAAAAAAAAAAAAACAACCAAACCTAGTTTTAAAACCTACAGTACTGCTTCTACTGATTTTCTACAAAAGTAATCACATTCTAACTTCTCTGTTCTACTTTGGCTAATTTGCAATAGCAAATGACTCGGAGTCAGCAGATGGATGAACTCCTGGATGTCCTCATTGAAAGCGGAGGTAAGACTCTCTGTGCCCTATCCATCACAACACTCTGCTTTAGTGCATACTCTAGGAAATGAACTTCTAAGGCCAATGTCAGATAAACACTGTGAGTTTTTGCCCCAGGTAGTCCACTGATAGAAAGTCATTTCCTCTGCACTTCCTGCACACTTTTGGAGCAGATAAAAGAAGGTACCATGGGTGATTCCTTACTGTCTTTGTCCTAGGAGCATTTTTCACCAATCATTTTAACAGTTTTGATTTGCAGCCCAGTTCCTATTTCCCTCAATGCTTTTTCTTACCACACCATTTCTTTCTACTGTTTCTATTCATTGTCCTGTCTTCACAATTATAAGAAAAAGAAAAAGATACTGAAAGTTTTGTGCTACCTACTCAAAATGAAATTCAATCAGTAATCTTCCCCTGGATGTCCATTCATGCTTAAATGTTATCCAAGCTAGCAATAAAAAAGAATTATGTTCTTTTTGCCTTCTTTTACTTTGTTTACTTATTTTTATTTTAATTATGAAGTGTGTGCCTAGAATTTGAAAACACACAAATGAATAAGATTACCTGAGCCGGGCTCAGTGGCTCAGCCTGTAATCCCACACCTTTGGGAGGCTGAGGTGGATTGCCTGAGCCCGCGGGTTCGAGACCCGCCTGGGTAGCAAGACCTCATCTCTATAATAAATCAAAAAATCAGCTGGGCATGGTAGCGCATGCCTGTAATTCCAGCTACTTGGAAGGCTGAGACGGAAGGATCGCTGGAGCCCAGCAGGTTGAGGCTGCGGTGGCCGGAAGCGGCCACTGCACTCCAGTCTGGGAGACAGAGTGAGACTCCAACTCAAAAAACAAACAAACAAACAAAAACAAAAACAAAAACAAAAAGATTACCTAAGGCAGTTGTGTAGATAAAAATAAAAGAGCACAGGGATGAATCCTTAAGCAACAACATTGAAAGTTTCAGAGAAGGGATGGCCAGACTTTGTGTTGGACTCAATGCTATACAAGACAAAGTCCCATCTTTATGGAGTTTACATTCTGGTAAAAGAGATGGACAATGAACAGGTGAACAGACATTTCTTCTACCATAACAAGAAGAAAGAATAAAGATATGCCAGGCTCGGTGGCTCAGCCTGTAATCCCGCACCTTTGGGAGGCTGAGGTGGGTGGATTGCCTGAGCCCACGGGTTTGAGACCCGCCTGGGCAGCGAGACCTCATCTCTACAATAAATCAAAAAATCAGCCGGGCGTGGTAGCGCATGCCTGTAATTCCGGCTACTTGGAAGGCCAAGGCGGAAGGATCGCCGAAGCCCAGCAGGTCGAGGCTGCGGTGGCCGGGAGCGGCCACTGCACTCCAGTCTGGGCGACAGAGTGAGACTCCAACTCAAAAAAAAAAAAGAATAAAGATAAATACAGGTGTGTGTATACATATACATTCTGTGATGGAAGGATGAGAGAGCGCATATATTGAGTAACGGCAAGGTCAGCAAAGAGTGAGGGTGCAGGACAAGTGTATGGGAGATTCAAGGAAAGAAAAATAGCTATGACTTAATCATGAATGGAGTTTTCTGGAGAAACATAACAGGATTGTTAGACAGTCTTAAGTGCCAATTGTAGGCTCGGCATCAGGAATCTAAAGTGAAACCATTTGGTTTAGTTGTGCAGTTTTTCTTTCACAACTTTCCCCTGATCCAGGACAGGCTCAGAGAAGGCAGATTGTGAGGCTGATCCAGTTGTGGGGCTTTGCCAGGAATACAGACTGGACAAGGCAAAAAGTGATGACTAGAAGAGGTTGGTGGACAGTGATAAAACAGTAAAGTCAGTGGATTGGCCTGGTTCTAAGTGGTCATGGGATACTTACTAAGTGACCTGGAGGGACACAATGGGAGGGGATGGACAGAGAGTGGGAGAGATTGCTTGAAATTGAGGTCTCAGAGGGATGCAGTATTATAGGGATGACAAGATCCAGGGAGTATCTGACAAGGCAAGAATGAAAGAATCACTGGAGTTAAGGAAGAAATCAAGAACCCAAGAGAACAGCATGAACAATGGGTGATTTCTGAGGATGCTAAAGTCACAGAGAATGCAGAGAGCTGAAGTGAGACAAAGGCAATGAACTGGGGAATAGGGTTTTCAGTGGATGAAAAAGAGTGACCAGGAAGCTGAAGGTGGGGAGTTAACATACCCCTCAAAACTGAAAACTTCCAAGGAGTCACGAGGAGAGGGAGGAGCAATCAGAAAGTGGCAATAGGATGGCACTCGATCACTCAGTTTCAAGCCACCACTGAGGGAATCACGGGGGATCTAGTGTCCTCAGGAGACAGTCATGGGTCAGAGAAGGGATAGGCACAACAACAACCAGAGAAGAGTGTTTGATAATCACAGAGTGAAATTCCCAGAAAGAAATGGTTTTTGGAGAGGGAAGAAGGATTACACAGAGCAGTTTAGGGATGAGACTGGATGATGTGTGGTGATCAGAAAGGCATGGCCAGCTTCTATGTCTAACTGTAACTCATTCATTTCAAAGACTCATACTTTGTGGCATGTTCAGTTTGAGGTGATATAACAATTCACATTGTGATTTGCCAACAGAAATGCCAGCTGATGCCAGAGAGGATCATTCATGTCTTCAGAAAGTCCCAAACATACCCGGGTCTTCCCGAAGCCCAACTGCTGTCCTCCCCAAGTCTTCGGCTTCCTTTGAACAAGCATCTTCAGGAGGCCAACTTCCCTTTGATCACTATGCCACCGACAGTGATGAGCATCTTGAAGTCTTACTAAATTCCCAGAGCCCTTTAGGAAAGGTGAGTGATGTCGCCCTTCTCAAAATTGGGAGTGAGGAGCCTCAGTTCGATGGGATGATGGATGGATTCTCTGGGAAGGCTGCAGAAGACCTTTTCAATGCACACGAGATCTTGCCAGGTCCCCTCTCCCCGATGCAGACACAGTTTTCACCTTCTTCTGTGGACAGCAGTGGGCTGCAGCTAAGCTTCACTGAATCTCCTTGGGAAACCATGGAGTGGCTGGACCTGACTCCACCAAGTTCCACGCCAGGATTTAGCTCCCTTGCCACCAGTGGCCCCAGCATCTTTAACATCGATTTCCTAGATGTCACTGATCTCAATTTGAATTCTTCCATGGACCTCCACTTGCAGCAGTGGTAGAATGCCTGATGCAACAGTGCTAAGGAAAACCAATAGGAATTCCATGGGGGAAAGTACACAACCATACATATTTCTTCTATCCAAAAAAATGAAGAAGAAGAAGAAGAAGGGAATTTTTAAAAAGCAGTGGAGACTTCTGTGACAATCAACAAATAGGAGTCATTTAAAAATATACATAATGTGCTATTTACCAGCATTCAGTAACTGTTATGATTTCAACAATGTACTCAAAAATGTGCTTTCTCAGATTAAGGATGCCAAAAAAAATTT